ATCACTCATTCATTCATTCATCCATTTATTCCTTAACCACCCATCTACCCATCAATCCATCCATTCATTCATTCATCCATTTATTCCTTAACCACCCATCTACCTATTAATCCATCCATTCATTCATTCAATCACACATTCTTTCATTCATTTATCCAAGCGTAATTATCTTCCATTATAAATGATTCACGTTTAATTATACTGATAATTAATGACATTAAACATCATTGTTAAGCGTGTGTGTGTGTGTGTGTGTGTGTGTGTGTGTGTGTGTGTGTGTGTGTGTGTGTGTGTGTGTGTGTATGTGTGTGTGTGTGTGTATGGAATGTTATATTTAATTAATAACGTTTTATTAGTAAATGGTTTAATTATAATTGAACAGTAGTTTCGGATTGAAATAAATCAAGTATAAATTAAGTTAACTGAGAAAAATTAAAAAAAAAATATCTTAATAAAATAAAAAAATGGTCGATAATTTAAGTTAATTGAATTCAATTAAACCCAATTCAGATAATTAACAATCATTTCTTCTATTGATTAGCGTTATTGGGGTAACTGATCTGTCTGATGCATTCAATTAATCAATTAACTAACTAATTAATTAATCAATCAATCAATTAACTCACGTTAAAAGGCACAAACATACGACCAAACAGGTTGGTACAGACAAAACATACAAACTATACCACCTTATACAAACTTATGCAATACAAACATATACAAGCAGGTGCCCACATACAAACTCATGTATACAAACGTACAAATACATACAAAATTGTATGGATATACAAAAGATACACGCCTTTTGTATATATACACATAAGTTATACAATACAAAATTGAGGCGACTATTTTAAAGGGACAATTTCCGTCTAAGAAAAACATACAAAATTGTTTTCCTACACAAAGAGAACACATACACACACATACAAACTTAAACAGAACTTAAAAGATACAAACTTATGTATACAAACATATGCAAAGATATACATATTAATCATTGACGAATATACAAAATTGTAAATACACAAACTGCTGAATCATCATAATGGTTTATAAAAATATATCATTAAAGCATTGATTGAGAAAATAATTAATCATATAAATTAATATATATAAATATATATATATATATAATATAAATATATATATATATATATATATTTATATATTTATTTATTTATTATATGTTAAAGTTAATTGAAATTGTCAGTTCATTTGTATAAAAACGAAGATAAAATTATACATTAAAAAAACTGTAAAATATTGAAAATCATATGAAAGGTCAAAAATCATTGTGACGTGCACATAAGGTTATAAAGGTTAGAAGGGTGAACAAAAAGTTAAAAATTGACAAACACATAACATAAAACAAACCATGTTAATAATCATTAATAAATGAATTTGGTAGAAGCAAACGAAATAATAATAATTATAATAAAAATAATAACATAAATAATCGTTACCAAGCAAGAACCGAACCAACCTCACATCTCTACAAATACCACCACAATGACGTCACAGAGGAAGAGGCAGCATGAGCACGTCACACGAGCAATAATACTTGAGTGCAGAGAGATGCAAATACTTGATGGTTTATGGTGATTCTATCATATAATATGATTTGTTGAAAGCAGGTATGCGCACACGCACACGCACACAACACACACGCAGTCACACACACAGTCACACACACACAGTCACACACACACACATACACACACACAGTCACACACACACACACAGCATATATACACATACACAGTTATAAAAATCAATCCCCAAAAAGCCTTACTCGCTAGTACATCATCAATTATGTTACTAATGTTATTGTAGAGGAGGTACTATAATTATTACTACTAATAAGATGATTACTATTAATAATATAATTAATAATAATAATAGTACTGTCACTAATATAGAAACAAAGGCACATTGTCTTTGAGATTAAAACGTCTTATGTCATTCATGCATTTTAAATATAATTATTCATTTATTTACCATATAAAAATATTTCATTTGAAATGATGACGTCAGAAATGACGTATTAAGCGATAGTCATGGCGTCACGATGACGTCACGTGAGAAAGTGACGCGTCTCTAAAATCTAAATATCATGGAGTAATGAACTCTGCCCGTCCCTCAGAAACGATATAAAAATCATAAATATTGAGACATTTAGTTTGTTTATTTTAAAATATACATCGTTAGTAAAATTTGAAATTTTCTAAATAATTTTTGTGCATTTAGAAGAGAAATATAAAGTGTGAACAAAGTAAACGAACAATCAAAACCAGATATATTTCATATAAACACTTTAAATAGGATGGTGTTAGGAACGTTAAACACGCGCACACATAGAAATGTTATGGGAAACCGCAGCGTTTATAAATAGAAACAGATGATGGTGACGAAGACAACGACGATGATGGCACGATGATGTCATCAACAAGGCGTGACGTCATTGGTGGAAAAAAAGGCGGGGAAAATCAACAGCCAA